TGAGATCATGAGTGAATTTCCTTTGGATCCACAGTGCTTGTTGTTAGCCCCAAATTTAACTGTTCAAATGAGATTCTTTCTATATCAGCTATGCTTTCAGGTATGTGATTTGTTGTCTTGCTTTCTTTGTGTCTGTCTCGAGTCTAATCATGGGTCTCTGTTTTTAGTAAAACAATGATCAGCTGAGAAAGTTGCCTCATTATTTGGAAATGCATGCCCATCTTTCTTAGCATGCACATGGACATGTATATGTGATTATGAGGTTATATATTTAATTGCAATCTTGTGTACCTCCTTTGTACATCCGCATGCAGTTAAATGTTCCAAAGTCCACTTAGGTTGTCATCAGCAACTGTCTTGTCTGGGTTCCGTGCCACCTATTGGCATGGACCATAGAATTTCTAAGTGTTGATGCAGATAGTTGCAGTTTTCTCAGTACTTTCATCAAGCAAATGGTGTAGTCTCACCTTTATGCATCTGCTGACCTACTGTGGGCCTCTTCTGTGATAACCAATTTTTTCTTTAGTACCCAATTGCTTTGCCCGGGCTACGGGGGCTCAGAAGGCTGCAGATGAAGCAAAAGCTTGGTTTGGGCACATTGATGGGGACCACCTCACGCTCTTGAACGTATTCCATGCATACAAGCAAAATAGTGAGTATTTTCTACATTTTTTCTTTATTTCCTTTTGCTTTAAGAATCACAATTCCGTAATCCTTTTTATGTGGTGGAGTTTCATATGAGGATCCATCTTGGTGTTATGAAAACTTTATCAATCATCGGGCATTAAAATTTGCTGATAATGCAAGATAGCAGCTAGCTTGGATCATGGTTAGGTTAAACATTAAGCAATGTAGCACAGATTTTGACAGCCGTGACTAGAGGTGTGCGCGGTGCGATTCGGGCAGTTTAAGAGTAAAATTACAAACCGAATGACGGGTTAACGGATGAGCGGATTGACAAATTGCAGTTTGGTCGGTTTTTGGCGAATTGGCGGATTGAAGAATATTCTAACTAATTATCATACATTTACATAATATATAACACTAATTTGTATAATATTTTTTAGATATATAACACAAAGTAATTTTACATAATATGTTTCATATATATAACTACTAATTTGTAATAAATTTCATATCTTAAATCTCTGACACACTCATTTTTACATTGATATTTCATTGGAGGTTAAAAAATATATATATGTATTAACTATAGCGGAGCGGAGCGGTTTGGTTGGCGGATTATAAATTTTAAAGTTTAAACCGTGGTTAGCGGTTAAAGCGGTGCGGATTGATGCGGATCAGTGCGGTTTTAGTAGATCGGGCGGTTTTTTGCACAGCCCTAGCCGTGACTACTACATCAACATCAAAAAGGCTATGCTAGCTGGATTTTTCATGCAGGTGGCTCACCTGCAGTGTGCTGGACACTATTTGACTATGAAGGACAAGGTCAATAAGATGATTTATCTATTGTTTTTAAGCTCTAGGGGATTGTGTATTTGACGCACACAAGACATAATTTTTCTTAGTATTTACATTTACATGATTACATCTTTTTATAAATGCTGTAATGTGGCAAAATGCAGGTGGTTTGGTTGCACCCTTCAAATTGCCTGCATCATATGTCAGAGTGGATCATCTATTATGAATTTGTCTTAACAACCAAAAATTTCATCCGTACAGAAACAGATGTTTGTGTTGAATGGTTAGATTCTTTTATGCAATTTTATTGTTCGGTATTCAATCATTTTAGTCACCTATGATTCGTGATACATATGGGAAATAGAGAATTTGATACATGATGCATACAAAATTTATACATCCATTGTATGCAAGAAGAGTATCAATTATGGAACTTTGGTTAGTTTCTTAAGATCCATGTGAGCTCTGCATAATGTGGATGAAAAAGTTATTTGCATAATTAAATGGGAATTTTATGCCACAATATTCAATGAATATGGGCCTTACATTGCAATAATAATAATAATAATAATACCCTCGTAAACACATAATAGATTGGCCCCACCATGAATGAATGAAACCCCAAAAGCAGATGACCTATTAACCCCAACACAGTTGTGAATCTCTCTTGACTGCCTGGCAAGAGGATGTTGGGATTGATAGGTTCGTAGGAGTTTTCAAAATGTTGGTTTGTGTCTAGTTTTCCTAAAAAGCTAAGTGTATGGGGTTTTATGTTACCGCAAATCAGTTACCCCATGCCCACTCAAACAGCCCCTTAGTCTACCCTCTCCCTTCTCTTTTCCAATTTTTTGTGGCTGGTTGGATGTTTTTGATTGTCACAATTATGTTTTGTCTCAAAATCATGCAACCTCCTTTCAAAATTGTCCTGGCTCGGCTTTTGCTGTAAAGTAGGTAGAAAAAAAAAATAAAAAACCTTATGTCTATGACAACTGATTGCAAAGAGATACTATCTAGCTAAGGCTTGTCTTACGGCAGACACGCCAATCAAACGGTTATTTTCACTCTTTCCCAAATAGCACTTGGTTAACCTCTCACCCTTTTGTTTTCCCCTCTTTTTTTAGGTTGGTTGGATGCTTTTGGTTGTCACAAATTTTTCTATGATATGGGTTAAGTAAGACTAACCTTGTCTTATGGATGGTGCTGAAGGTTGGTACTCCTTTGGTTTTCAGATTGGTAGTTTATTTATGAAATTTCAATCTTTTGATTTTTGTTGACCAAGATGTTTAGACGTATGAGGGGAACCTAAACTGATTAACAACAATTTTTTATTAATATCATAAAGAATTATTATTGTTATTAGTATTATTGTTAAACATAACCATTATTTGTAGTACTAAAGCACTTAGTGACTCTAGGCTGCGTTTAGTGATTGGCACAATTACTTTGACTACTCTATTTCTTCAGAAGAAGCCAATAAAGAGTCGGGGAAGTGATGGATTTGAGACTACCAGCATCTCTACCACTGGTACAGAGCAGTTGAGTAGTGGATTTTTTAGAAAGTGTTTCTTCCTTATTAGGGTAGGTCTTTTCCTCTTACCTTCTACGTTTGTATTGAAGGATGGAATGAATAGTATGTAGCATACAAACGTTGAAAGCTCCACGTAGTATTCTTATTCTTAATGAACAATAGAGTACTAAATTGTAGAAGTAGAATAAGCAACTCGTCACTCTTTCAGTGTAGAGTTGTGGCTCATGTAGTGATGTGTGGGAGCAGCTTCTTCAATAGGCTGCCTTCTCTTGATTATTCAATGAATGCAATGAATAAGCTGTTGATACATAGCAAACCAAAGTAAGAATTTCCTGACTTTGTGATTACTTTGAATGTTGTGAGGAATTTTATACTTTACTGGACTTGGGATATGATCTTTTACCTACTTTTTTATTTGATCACACGAGTACTTACCTGCTTTCCTATTTTATTCTACTTTGTGCTTTGTTAATTTGGGTCGATTTAGGTTAGTCGATATAGCACCCCACTACTTCGACCTAGCAAGCTTTTTGCAGAATGAGAAGAGGCATGTTCTTCAGAGGCTTTCCAAGAAACAGGAAAAGGACAGGGAAGAGAGCAAGAACAAAAAGTAAAGCCGTCTCTCCATGTTTTTGCTCCCTTGCATATGTTGTTACCTAGATGCTTATAGTTTCTTGAGAATTATTCTCTGGATCTATATTTGCTTGGCAATGCCTTTCAACCAGTTTCATGAAATGAACAATGGATATGCTCACAAAATTGTGTACACCATTATTGAAGGAGTTTAGTTAAGAGCTGTAGAAAGTTGTAAGAGCTCTCATATTTTGTTCTGATTGTGGTGGTTTTCATGTTTTTTTATTGTTAGAAGTTTCAACTTCTAACACAACATGGTTGGGCTACTGTGGACGAGATTTTTCTTGTGTACGTGCTTGAAGTTTTTGCAGGTTTGAATATCAAGGAGTAGTTCCCACAAAAGGATAAAATAAATAAGGAAGTCCAGTAGAATTTGAAACATAAAAATGTTTATGATGAAAAAGTAGAGACAAAGCTCATTTTAACAGCACCAGTTGCTGCAACTTTTGGCTTGTATTTATTGGAACCCGTTATTGACCTAAAACAATACCTTGTGTCAGTTCAATCTTCTACTCTAATCAGAAGACTAAATGCCCCTATTGAAGATTCAGAGGGTGAGCACTAGAACTGAGAAAGGCTTGTAAGTCGTGATGCTAAATGCCAAATTCATGGAAGAATGAATCAGGCAAAAATCTATTATGATCAATTCGATAGAGTTGAAGTTCAAACAGGCAGTCTTCTACAGGGAAAAAAGCTTCCATAAGTCTTTAGTCGTGCTGCTTTAAATCCTTTCCCTTCATACACCACTCTAATAGGGTCACACAAGCAGTCTCCAACTGGGATCAAAGCTCTGTTTATATGAGAATCTCACCCAGATGAAAGATCACATTCTGCCTTTAATACACTTCACCAAAAATCTAGATGTGCATGCCATAGAAGTCTCCTTTTATTGACTAGACAAATTGATCACACAAGTCCAAACTAGTTGAATTTTGAATAGTAATACCAGTCAGTAACCACTGGGAACTGTCACAATTTAGCCTAAGACCATTATGTACCTTTCACAAGGCCTAATGAAAACTTCACTGATTGGTGACAGGAGGAAAAGTCTCATCATGTGTTTATGAACAGTCTCGATAATGGTTTTGAGAGTACCCACCTCCATATGCTCAGGTTTATGCAGCGTGGACAATTTTAAATCAGACTCCACATTCAATAAATAGAGAAGATGAAGATTTCGTCAACCATCTAAGTATGGATTTAGATTACGAATCTGTAAGACAGCATGACGAAGAAAGATGATTGTGCGATGCAAGTTGAGTTCATGTCTTCATGATACTTCAGTTTTGAGATGCCAAATCTTGAAAGCCAAAAAGATGCAGTTTATTTTTTTATCATAGACCAGAAGAAGACTCGATCCAACTACCTGCATTCTGCATTTTCGCACGCCTTTCTTTCATCATCTTCCTCAACTCAATTAGAGTGCCTCATATTCCTTGTTCACCATGTATCTTTGACAGCATGGAATATACAGCAGGATGATCTTTTGAAGTGTGTTAATCCACTTTGCTGCAAACTCCCCGAGTTCCAAACTTGAATGCAAGCTACATGCTGCAAGAAATGCACCCCACACAACCACATCAGGCTTAAAAGGCATTCCCTCTATCAATTTCACTGCTGTCTTTAGAAAACCTGCTCTCCCATATAGATCCACCATGCAAGCATAATGCTCCATCCCCGCTTTAATTCCATATTTTGTTGTCATAGAGTTAAAATGCCTTTCGCCTTCTTCAACCAGTCCTCCATGCACGCACGCAGATAATACATTAACAAATGTAATTTGATCAGGTTTCACACCACCATTAATCATTCTCTCAAACTCTTCCAATGCTCTAGTTGCAAGGCCATGCCTTGCATAACCACCAATGACTGAGTTCCATGTCGCCAAGTCCTTCTTTGGTACGGATTCAAAAAAGTAGAATGCAGCTTCAATGTCCCCACATTTTGCATACATATCAACAAGAGCTGTTGATAAGACCACATCAAAAGGTATACCAGACTTCAACATGTTCGAGTGAACTTGCTTGCCCATGAGGAGAGAGGAGCAACCTGAACATGCGTCTAAAGCTCTTGAAAATGTAAATTGATTTGGCTGGGTTTCCGATTTCAACATCAATAGAAATAACTCCAAAGCATGCACAAACTTACCATTCTGCACATACCCACTTACCATAACAGTCCACAAAACCACATTTCTTTCACAATTTCCATTAAAGATTGATCGCGCTTCGTCAAGCTCTTTATTCCTAATATACCCATTAACCAAAATAGTCCAAGAAATAATATTCTTCTCAGGCATCATCTCAAAAGCTCTCCAAGCCTCCCCTGATAATCCTAACTCCATATAACCCAAAATCAACGCATTCCACGATGTGACTTTTTTTGCTAAAATTTCATCAAACACTAGATATAAACCTTTGCTATGTCCCAAATCAGTGTAACCTCTCATCAATGAGGACCCAACAAACACACACGAATTTAGTGTTGAACGGAGTGCAAGGCCATGGAGTTGAGGGATCAAAAGGTTAAATCCCGTGTTTGTAAGCGCGCTGATGACTATCGAAAAGGTGAAATCATTGGGTCGCAATCCATCTCTTCCCATACGTGGGAAACAATGGTAGATTCCTTGTGGGTTTTTGATCTTGTGCAAACCAGATAATATGGCGTTCCAAGAAACAACATCTCTTAGGAGCATTTGATCGAACAAGTGTTGAGCGTGTTGGATTTGGTCGTGTTTTATGTATTTGGAAAACATTGAATTCCAAGAGACGATGTCTTTCGAAAAGGGGTTTTCATCAAACAGTTTGCGAGCATCGTTTATATTTCCCTCACGAATGTAACCGTTGATCGTGTAGTTCAGAGTAGCCGTTGAAATAGTACAAATTTGGCTGGAAGTTACAAGCAATGCCCTGCCTAAAGTGCGCATTGGGCGCAATACGACTCCTCGACCTCCCCAATTCGGTGGCGTAAGTGGGGACAAGTCAGAAATATAACAACCTTTTGTCGTGAATACCAACCACAATATCATTTTATTTTCATTTCATTTCATAGATAAAAAAACTCTCTCCAATTTAGATATTAAATTTGGTAAGTCGTCTTACCCAGAAAAAAGACTATAATCTTGGCCAGAAAATGAATAGTGCTATATGTACCAATTTATATATTAATTAATAGATTAACGGATGATATAATATAATTTTAAATATTTTAAATTTTTATAGTTTGCTCTTGAATCTAAAGTATTCCAGATAAGCAGAACTAAGACAGAGTACATGGAGTGTAAATTTAGTAACAGTAACAATGAAAGCAGAGGAGAAGTGAAGATTGAGAACCAAGAACTGCCTAAGAGTGAACATTTTCTTTATTTAGGGTCGATTATCACAACAGCGGGAGAGATTGATGCAGATGTGGCCCATAGGATTAAGGTAGGATGGTGTAAGTGGAGAAGTGCGTCTGGGGTATTGTGCGATAAACGAATACCCACTAGACTAAAAGGTAAGTTTTATAGAACGGCTATTAGACCAGCTATGCTGTATGGGACGGAGTGTTGGGCAACCAAGAAACAACATGTAGATAAGATGAGTGTGGCTAAGATGAGGATGCTAAGGTGGATGTGTAGTAAAACTAGACAAGACAGGATTAGGAATGAGTGTATTCGAGAATGGGTAGGAGTAGCACCGATAGAAGATAAGTTGAAAGAGAATCGTTTGAGATGGTTTGGTCATATTCAACGGAGACCAACAGAGGCAGTAGTGAAGAGATGCGATGTTGTAACGGTAGATGGAAGTGTTAGGAGACGGGGTAGGCCTAGATTAACGTTGACTAGCGTTATAAATAAAGATATGAATCTACTTAATTTGACTAATAATATGGCCTTTGATAGGGCCGCGTGGAGAAGAAGGATTCATGTAGCCGACCCCATTTGATGGGACTTAAGGCTTGGTTTGGTTTGGTATAATAGGTGGGGTCATAATATTGAAGTGACAATAATGTCGTAACATAACTGGTATACCAATTAGTAAGTGTAACACCACTACCAAAAAATAGATATAAAAAATTGAGATTGAATTGATATATTGTGAAGTTTATACTTGAATAAATATTTGATCATTGTGAATAAATATTCTTGATATGCTGTATTGTCGTATTAATTAAATTTCATAAAATTGTGTGAAAATTATATGTTAAAGGCGAATTGAGGAGAGATTGAAATCAGTTTCTCAAATGAAGTAGATTTCTCAAATTAAGTAGAAATTTGATTTACACATTCCCCATGATAATCTCAATTTTTTTGAAAAAATTGAACAATTGAAAAAGAAGGGAAAAAAAAGGAAGATGAAATTACAATATTAATTTTTTTTTTTTTTCATTTTAATTTTCTAATAGAGAATTCCTAGCTAAACCAAATATTTGAATAACATTGGTAAAATTATTTTATTAGTAGTAATAGAATCTTGATAATAATTTTTTTTTCTCTTAGATTGATGCCATCCAAAATCAGAGTATTGAATAGAGATTTTAAAAAAATAAAAATAAAAATTGTGAAATTCTCGTACAAAGAGAATTATTCCTGAAATGATTTCAAAATAACTATATTCAATAGGTTATTTTGAGTCTCTTCAAATTCATTCTTAAAATCTACTCTAAAATATGAATTCAAATCTATACTTTCTGAATGAATGATGTCCTTTATTTCATCATTTTGGTACTCCATTTTTATCTAAAAAACATATTATAAAAAATTTGATTGGATGTGCAGGTATTTGGAGGATGAAACAGAAATAAAAATAAAAAAAATAAAAAATCCCACCGACAGCAAGGTTATGGAATGAACACCCACAGAAAACCGCCCCTATATCATCGTCCCTCAAAATGGGGAATGGTTTAAAATTCATATATGGAACAGTAATCCAATAAATACTAAAAAATATATCAACAAATATACTAAGTAAGATGTGGGGTCTAGTCAGCTGATTAAAGGCAACAGCCACTCAAATGAATTGCCCGAAATCTGTGATACCATTTTATGTAAATCCGTAGCTGAAAATTGTTCAGGTTGCCACCATGGACACTACGGTCATTACTAGCTACATGTATTGTGTTGATTAGCTGGGCCAAACCTTCACAAGGTGCAAGCTCATCATTTCAATTTGGTTGTCCAAAAGATTTTAATTTCAATGCTTGCTTTCAGCTGTTGTGAAAGCAGAATTTTGCCCCCCCCCTTCTTATTCTTCTTCTTCTTCTCTTTCATTTTATTCATGTTTTATGTTAAATTTTGAAATATTGTTCATTTGTCTATTTTAAAATAGTAGTATTTGTTGGTACTTGGTATATACATTTTTTAATTTTTAAGATTTCATTTTGTTTATGTTGAACTCTAAATTATTTAGTTATATTAAATTATATTTTTTTTAACGTACAAGGTGCGCCTCATTTCGGTGAAGCCTGCGCCTCGCCTTGCACCTTGAGCATAGGCCCTAGGAGACCTTGGCACCTTGGTGCGCCTATCGCCTTTAATAACACTGCAAAGAACCATGGTTTTTGAGGCCTTCTTTACCAAGTTGAAGAGTAAATTTGGTAAAACTTGAAAAGTTCTTGCTTCTATATGCTTGTGCTTTATGCAAAACTGCCATATCAGCATAATCAGTAAGGAGATGGCTGGGGTATCGTGGTTTCAACAATAGCATGTTCTTGACCAAATCATTATGTGGGTTCCTACAGTTGTACCAGGATTCATGTCTTTGATAATGGTTGGTAGTGTTAAAGTATTGAAGCACTTGATGTGTTTGACAATTAATATATTTTCCAACTGGCTTAAGGGGATGATCTGCCACTTTGCCTGTTGGAATAACCTTTCTATTAAATGAATTATAACATGGCAATCAATTATTTATTTATTTATTATTATTATTATTTTTCCCCAATGTGCTAGGCTACTGCACTTATTGTCATATAGCACATGATAGAATTTCTATGCTGCTTTTTTTACTTCAAAAGTGTTTTTTTTTTACTTCTTATGGACTTGAAAGAATTATTATATATTTTATGTAGGAAAATGCATAACATCCTTGTGTTGGCGTCCCGATGGTAAAGTAATAGCTGTGGGGCTTGAAGATGGGACCATTTCATTACATGATGTTGAAGTAAGTAACCTTACGACTTGCCTATCCTTACAAAACGGGGAGGGATAAAAATATCAGCCTTCAGATATAGGTATAACCGATTATAATATTGCATGTCTTCTTGCTATCCAAATGCAATTTTCTCTTCACAGATGTATTTTGTCTTCTAGGGCTTTTAGATTGAAATGTCTTTTAAAGTGTTTTATTTCCATATTGATAACTCTACCATAGAAAAATTGCCAAAAGAAGAGGAATATATATACATAAATATATGTATTATGTTTATCATACACCAAATTATTTCACAGATCTAGTTTGTAGATCAAGCCTTACTTCTGCTGAGTAGTTTCCATCATACAATACAAGTTGGAATGCTTTATTTTCTTTAACAAAACATCTAGGGTTGTTAACTTGTTGCTTCCAAAAATTTAGATGGATGTTGTGTACACGAAGACTTATCTATGAACAGAGAGGCTATATTCACACTGCAAACATAGTATCTGGTGCTTTATTGAGTTCAAAAATAATATCAAAAGGCTAAAAATGCCTTTGTTTTGGTCATTCATTCAAGTTGTGTCCGCACAGCTCCAACTCACCTTCCCTCTTCAGCTTTTCTCAAATAGAGTTTGTCTTCCAAACACAAAGTCTCTCTCTCTCTCTCGCGTGCGTGCGCACAAGCAAATATGTCTGTCTTGAATCTGGTGAAGACCAAGAAGCATCAGTTTTCCAGTTAAGGTCAAGATTTCTCATTTCAAACCCAATAGTAGCTTCTTTCAATCTTCCCATTGTAATGAATAATAGCATTTGCAATTTATTTCAACATGTTGTTGATCTGATATGTGTTTCTGCTTCCATTGCTACAAAATCATTTTCAAACTTCCTCACTTTACCCTTTCAACCATCAAAAACTTTCATAGTAAATCTTTGTTAAAAAACATGGCAATTATACGTAAACTTTGTAGGGGAAAGCAAGTGCTTATGTTAACATCTAAGGATCACCTTTGTAAAGGTAGTCAACTAAATGAGTCATAGACGAGGGCATGGAAGATCCATTTGCAATGCTATAGATATCCAGAATTTTCAACTCCACCATGGCTGTATTGGACCAATTTTGTTAAAACCTACCGTCACCTACTCCACCTACTACACCTACCACCACCTACTACCACCTACTACACACCTACCACTACCACCTACTACCACCTACTCCACTACATCTCCTATATAAGGAGCCCCTCACCATTTTTATATTATTGATTGATTGTATTGATTGATCTACTGTCTATTACAAATGGTTCCTTATATAGATGTAGGTGTAGTGGATGGTGGTAGTGGTGTAGTGGGTTAGGTTTAGTGGAGTAGGTGAGGTGGTAGTGGTGGTAGGTGATGGTAAATTCTAACAGCCCCCCGCAAACTCAAGGAGGATAGAAACGAACCAACTTGAGTTTGAAGAGAGGAACAAAACAAGAAAATACATAAAAAAAAAAAATGATAGAAGACACTGTATGGTCGTGTCAGACCATTGGTGAAGACACTGAATGGTGGTGTCATAACGTTGTAGAGGACACTGTATGTGAGCCCGGTGCATGCAATACAAATGAATGGATGTAAACATGCAAAGCATAAGGTATGCTAAATCAAATATGCCC